ACCCGATTGACCTATGAGGGTAATTGAGAACTGGATAATGCTTCTGCGGTAGTTGGAAAAGTCTAGGATAGCTCTCTAGAGAAGGTGTGAAATAGGTCGAGATGCTTTATTCTTGGTTAGAGGAAGTTGAAATTCAATTTTATAAAGTGTTCTGAGATGATTTTTATTTAGGGCCGTTTTACGTGCAAACCGTCCCCCCTCCTTTGTTAAAGCAGCTGAATATTATCGCAAATTTATTCCCAATTTTTCTCAAATCGCTGAACCACTTAGGAAATTCGTTCCAACTACAAGAACTCAACAAAAGAAAGGACAAAAAACAATGATTACATTAACACAAGATGAACTTAAAGCATTCGAACAACTTAAACATTTTCTTACAACTGACTTAGTGTTACGATTACCGAACAATAGATTCCCTTTCAAGGTCCAAACAGATGCTTCGGATGAGGGAATCGGTGCAGTATTATTACAAATATATCCAGATGGTGATAGACCAATTGCATATCTTTCGAAGAAATTTACACAAGCACAACGCAAATGGTCTCCAATGGAACAAGAATGTTACGCATTTATATGTGCATTAGATAAATGGCATAATTATTTAAGTGGAATTCAATTTACTTGGGAAACTGATCACAAAGCATTAACACAATTAAACCAAAAAGCTCAAATTAACAAACGATGCGAGAGATGGAGATTAAAAATTTTAGAATATGATTTCAAGGTGAAATACATTCCAGGCTTAACAAATTCTATGCCCGATTATTTATCAAGATCTCCTGTTGAAGATGCTGAAGAAGATCCTGATGAAACCACACACCTTCATTCCAAATCAACACAAACTGATATTTTATATGATAACCAACATTCATCCATCATCGCAGCTGTTGAAACTCGTGCTATGAAACTACGAAATAACACTTCAAATGAACTTTCAAATACAACAAAATTAACATCAGATTCTCTACATAATTCTATTCAAGAGAATCGCACCACTCCATTTTCAATTGAAGAATTAATTCAAGCTCAACAAAATGATGCTTATGCAAAAAATATTTTTAATAATATCAAGAAATACAAACATTATATTATAAAAGACAGTATCTTAATGCGTCGATCTAAAACTCCAGTTCCATATGTACCACAAGGTGATTTTCGACGAACAATTTTACAAATATATCATGATACAGCAGCCAATGGTGCTCACTTTGGAAGAAATAAAACAATACATAAAATTAAACAACGTTATTTTTGGCCATCAATGTACAAAGATATTAATAATTATATCAAATCATGTATCCCATGTGCACAATTTAATCCTCGTCGACAAAAAACTCCGGGTACTTTACAACCAATACAACCACCTGATGGAGTATGGCAATTAGTAGCTATGGATTTTCATGGACCTATTACACCAATATCTCAACGCGGCCATAAATATATCATATCTCTTACCGATGTTTTATCCAAATTCGTTGTTACCAAAGCTGTACGTGATAATACAGCTCAAACAGCTGTTAGATTTCTTAAAGAAGACGTTATCGCAAAATTTGGAACACCTCGATGTCTTCTCACTGACAATGGAACACATTTTACATCAACATTAATGAATGAATTATGTAAACAAATTGGTGTCACACACTTGTATTCAACACCATACCATCCTCAAACTAATGGTCAAGTTGAAAGATATAATTCAACTATGGACGCAAAAATTGCAGCATTATCAAATTTTAAGAAAACTGATTGGGATGATCAATTACCATTTGTTACATTTAATTATAATGCTACAATTCATTCAACTACAAAACAAATACCATTCCAAATGATGTACGGACGATTACCAACATTACCCTTCGATTATCAAGCCGATAACGTCACATTATCATATGATGCTGAACATACCGTCAAACTCAAAAATTTTTTGTCAAAATTAAATGAACAAGCCAAATTAAATATTCTAAGGAATCAAGCTCGATACAAACAACATTATGATATTCATCGTTCTGATCCCTCATATAATATTGGTGATTTAGTTCTTGTTAAAACACTAAACACCCGTCACAAATTCGATATTCGTTATGAAGGACCATTTAGAATTATCAAACAATTGACACGAAAAACATTCATTCTTCAACACGTCAAGAAACCAACTTTACATCGTCAAGTTACATCGGACGTGTTATTACCAATATTTGAACGTATTTATTAGATTTTAAGGACCTCTTCAATGAGATCCGTACCATAATTATATCTCAACATTAAATGGAATTATTAATTCGGATTAAATTTATACAATTAATTATTCTATGATACGAAATTTATTTGTTGAATGTATTTAACATTCAATCAATCTTCATAGATCCTCTTTATGGGCCCTGAGAATCGAGAAGAACTTTTTTCGTACATCAATTCTATTGAGATATAAAATAACTACATCTATTATATATATATAATTCATCATTATTTTTATTTGTCCTGAAATTATTATATTTGTGAAAAAATTATATCACTTATTTTCACTGATTCTTTTCCCTTTGAGAATCGAATTTTTTACACCTTAGATTCATTTTTTAATGAATCGCTATTTAATATAATTACAATTTAACTTTCTATTCTAGTCATGTTATCACAACGAGAGTACGAAAAGCTTAAATGGCAATTAAAGAATATTTCATCAACAATTAAAGGACGTCCACGACAAAATCTTCGAACAACACTCCGAAAAAAAATACACGAACATGAATTAGCATCAACATATCCAACATTTACACCATCCAATTTCCAACAATTTTTTATAAATTTTCAAACAACTGATTTAACACTTCTTCATCTTATTGAAGCTTGTGCAGCTTCAACAAATTTTATTTTGGATACAGAATCAGTTGGTATTTATCAAGGTCCAAACAAACCCGCACTTATTCAGATTCAAATCATATTACCAACTTCGATTTCTTATGTATTGATCATTGAAGTTTGTCATTTACCACCTATCCATGAAACAACATTCCAACTTATTAAACAATTTTTTACAACATTGTTTTCTTCAGGAAAAACAATTTATATTTGGGG